GACTGGGGGAGCCTGGGCCACATGACAGCTCCCAACTGCAAAAGAAGCTAAGAACGAAAGTCTCCAGCAGGACTCATGAAGCAGAGGACTCCACAGGCACTGGGTAGCCTGGAAACACAAGCCAGGCCCCGGGTGTGGAGGTTCAGCTTGAGTGTCCCTTAACCAAAATGCTTGGGACCAAAGTGTTTCAGTTTTTGGGATTTTTTTTTTTTTTCTTTGAGACAGAGTTTCACTCTTGTTGCCCGGGCTGGAGTGCAGTGGCACAATCTCAGCTCACTGCAACCTCCGCCTCCTGGGTTCAAGAGATTCTCCTGCCTCAGCCTCCCGAGTAGCTGGGATTATGGGTGCATGCCACCACACCCAGATAATTTTTGTACTTTTAGTAGAGATGGTGTTTCATCATGTTGGTCAGGCTAATCTCGAACTGCTAACCTCAGATGATCCGCCAGCCACGGCCTCCCAAAGGGCTGGGATTACAGACATGAGCCACCACGCCCAGCCTTGGGATTTTTTTTTTAATATTTGCATATACGTAATGGGATATTTGGGGAATACAACCCAAGTCTAAACATAAAATTTATGTTTATAGACATCTTATACATATAGCCTGAGTGTAACTTTATATATTTTTAATAACATATACCAATATTTTAATAATTTTAATAAAAAATACACAATATTTTTATATATAATTGATATTTTTACAATTTTATTTTTCCATACATTATTGGGGTGCAGGTGGTGTTTGGTTACATGAGTAAGTTCTTCAGTGGTGATTTGTGAGACCCTGGTGCACCCATCACCTGAGCAGTACACACGGCACCATAGGTGTTGTCTTTTATCCCTCGTCCTCCCGCCACTCTTCCTCCCAAGTCCCCAAAGTCCATTGTATCGTTCTTATCCCTTTCGTCCTAAGAGCTTAGCTCCCGCACATCAGTGAGAAGATATGAGGTTTGGTTTTCCAATCTTTGTTTTCTTTTCTTTCGAGACGGAGTCTCGCTCTGTTGCCCAGGCTGGAGTGCAGTGGCTCGATCTCCATTCGCTGAAAGATCCACCTCCCAGGTTCAAGTGATTCTCCTTCCTCAGCCTCCCGAATAGCTGGAATTACAGGCACCCGACACCACACCTGTCTAACTTTTGTATTTTTGGTAGAGGAGGGTTTTCACCATGTTGTCCAGGCTGGTCTCGAACTCCTGGCCTCAAACAATCTGCTCTCCCCGGCCTCCCACAGTGCTGGAATTACAGGCGTCAGCCACCGTGCCCACCCTGGCTTGACAAACCTTTGAGAAGCTGGGGCTTTTTAAGCTGTGGAAATAAACAAAGGCCAACCAAACGGGAAAAGCAAAGGCTATTCATTCAGAGCCTGCTGTGGCAAGGGAGTCAGCCACAGTCACTTGTATTTAGGCAGAGACTCAAAGGCAGGCAGAGGAGTGGGAGAGCTTCATAGTGGAAAATAGGAAAAGCTTCAGGTACCCTGAAGTACTCGCTGATTGGAGGCTGTTGGCACGGGGAAGGGACTTTGAGGTGGTTAAATATAAGTGGAGGGTCCTTTGGGATTGGTTAGGGATCAGGTGTGAGCCACCACGCCTGGCCCCTAGTTCAGTTTTTTTTTTTTTTTTTTTTT